CAACCTGTTGATCTCTCTTGCCCGTTTTCCAGACGACACACTTCCTTCTCCAAGGAGTTTTAAGAGCAGAGCTCAGTTTGTCAAATGACCGTTGCAGATGTGCAACACAGAGACACAAACACACTGCATGGCCGTCCTTACACCTCTGGGGAAAAGTGAAGGATCTGGGGTACAAAAAGTCAAGGAAATACCATCTTTCCACCTCTGCTCTCACTAGAATAGTTTAGCTAGATTTTTACATCTTTCACTGGAAGATGCGAATGCCAACAAATTTATTTATTTATTTATTGGCATTCGCGTCTTCCAGTGAAAATCGTCCACTAGCAAAGGAGGTAAGGCGGGGAAACTGCCTGTGTTAAAAACTTGATTGCACCAATGAAACTATTACTTTTAATTAGCAGACTGCATGGAAATGTGATGGTGCAAGCCAACTTTTTCTGTCTTCAGCGATGACTTCATTTCCCCTGCACTTCCAAAAAAAACCATGACAAAAAACACATGTGGAGTCCTGCCATAACAGCCTTGCAACAATAGCGTTTTGAAGTTGTTCATTAATAGTTCCACCATAGGAAGTTAGCTGTTCATGCATAAACAAGATGAGGGTCTTAAAATGCAGCATTTTAATTCCTTTCTGTCTTGTTCGAAGCATCGTTACTCAGAAGAAAAGCCCCTTCAAATCCAGAGGTGCTCACTCCAAATAAGCCAACACAGAACTACAGTCCGAACATTAGAAACCAAAGCAAATTTAAATAAAACCCAAAGTACAAAATATACACCACAGATCAACATAAAAAGGTCTCCATTGGGCACATCAAGCAAAGTCCAAGTTACATACTATTTTCGACACATCAGCTTATTTATTCTCCCTCTTCCTCATATCAAGTTTTTCTATAAAATTTGGATTTTTTTAAAAAAAAGACATAGGAGGTAGCCTGGAAGGGGCAAGAAAAGGAGGCACACCAAGAACTAAAACAGAGGGAGAACAACGATGGATGGATGGATGGATGGATGGATGGATGGATGGATGGATGGATGGATGGATGGATGGATGGATGGATGGATGGATGGATGGATGGATGGATGGATGGATGGATGGATGGGCAGAGAATGCATCTTTGAGCAGAAGTGCCTGCCAATTTTTAAAGCAACTGGTCAAACACCAGAAGAACTAGATGCCTGACATCTTAAAGGATGAAAATCAGTGTTCTCCAGTTCTGGCTTCTAAACTACAGTGCATAAAAAAAAGGCCAATATGCAGAAGTGTTATGGCAAACAAGAGTTTAGAGGAGCTAGAAATGTCTACATCATAAAAAGGAGGCATGGAATCCTGTGTGCCTCTAAAGGCACCTCGTTCTGTCCCAATGGGGAAAAACGGTCCTATTTTCACTATTTTAAAAAAGTTTAACAAAAAAGAGCTGCTGCTTCAGTGTCACCAGAATTCAGAAGGAAACACAATATTTTCTCACGTAAGCGGCATGATCCCCGAGTAGCTTCAAGAGAGAGAAGCGAATGCTCCTGATTTATCCAGTTATGACCTTGGAAGCCGGTGCCACCAAGATAAAGCAAATAACAGATCTTACCACAAAAAGAGTTGTTTAGTGCTTTGTAGTAAATATGCCTGCAAAACGAGTATCTGAGCATTAACAAACTGAAATCTCCATTCTGTAGCACTGAATGACAATATCGTAAAGGGGAGGAAGGAAGAGAGTAAATATAGGAAAGCCAAATCTAATGCATTAGTGCAAATGCATTAATGAATCATCTGTGCAAAGAGGTGGCAGATGTCTCTTAAAAGGCCCCTACTTGCAGCAGATTTGGTGGCTCATCGTTCTAAAATGTTCTGTTTTCCCATCAATTCTATAAATTACAGGCTGACATTTTCAGAACAGAGGAAATATGAGGGTAGGTGGCTCTGCCCTACATCAAAAGCATGGGAGGGGGTGGCTAAGCAAACCCTCCACCCTTTAAAGAGAGAGATTAATCCTCTCTGAATAATATTAATAACAGTGGGGTGGAGGAGGTGCAGGCCAGTCTTAATCCCTTCAAGGGACTGTTTAAGCCGTGAAACAGAAGCAGTATCTTTTACCAGGTCAACATCTTCTGGTGGAGCATCACTGACAGCATTTGGGATCCAGAAAAGGGAGACTCTAGGGGAGGAAGTAAGTGTCGTGCCACCAACTCCTAAAGCACAAAAAGGATCAAGCCATTTTTCTTTCATAAATGTGATCACCCTCAGAATTTCTATAGTCCTCTGCAATTTTAAGATAATTCTCCTATGCAACTGCCGGTGCAATGAATGGGAGGAGTCTGTTCACTTCAGTGGGACTCATGTAGAAAAAAATCCTGGTGAATTCAGTTTTTCTTGAGCAATGGTTCATAAAGAATCACTCGGTTTCAATCTAGTGCCTCCACTTTCAGGGTTCCTGGTAGCGAAAACCACATGTTTTGAAAAACACCAGGAAGTTCCAGGGGTCTTCTGAAAGCTGTTGGCCGCCACTCCTCATGGCAGATTCCCACCGGTTTTGCATCTGCCGTTCCACCATGGAAAACTTGGGTTTTGTTGACAGATGTGCTGCTCATGGGGGCAGAGGTTTTTTTTTACTCTTGTTCTTGATGAAACGGCGAAATGAGAACACAGAATGCTCACCAGAACTTGCTTTGTTTGATATTTTAGCCAGCTCACGGGGCATTCTAGCTGAGCCTGAAGAAAAGGGTCTTTTGCAACCTTACACCCTGGAAACTCTTCTTAACGGGACGATTCCAAAGACTGAGCCCAGAGCAAAATGTGTACATTCTGTCCACACCCTGAGAACGTAATTTCTCTGGGCTAAAAGTTCGAGACTTCACCAGCCGGCACGGAACTCTTCTTGCCTGCCTACGTACAAAGAGTCCTTGGTGATTCTACAAGGGTTCCAATCAGATATCTGGGCCAAACATCCTTGATTTTGAAAAATTAAAAATTAAAAAAAACCAAAAACCTGGGAGCAGAATCATGTGAAGGGGGCACAAAAATCCTGTATCGTAAAGCTCTCTCCTCCCCTGCCCGAAACAGGGCTGCAGAGCAGAAGCATTTTGCCTGACTGAAGCAGTCGATGCTGCCAGCTGCTCTGGAGAGCTCATTCGGCCTCTAAGTCACAGCAGACAATATAACCTTTCATTCAGCTCTAGAAGTCATAATAAATGAGCTCACAGGAGAGAGAGAGAGAGAGAAACTCCTCTGGCTTGTCTGGGAGGCTGATTTGCTGTCAGCAGAAGCAGAGCTGGGAGAGGCAGGGTAGTAAAAATAATCCGAAGTGCTAATCCCCAATTCTAACATGCCCCCCCCATGGCACTGCTGTCTGGAAAAGACTGGCAAAAACAGGCACTGGGGCGGAGGTGGTCATGGCATTAATGCCACTTTACCAGTGAAGCCAAGAACACCATAGATCGCAATGGCTCGTGCAGAAAAAGATGGGAGACTTCTACCATCATGGTATTTTTCTTCCAATGCACAGCACGAATCCACTAGATTTGGAAGGCCTGGACAATTCTGCTAGCACCCACCTTGATCCCTTTTTTGTTTCCAGGGGGGCATTTTTATCTTCTTAGATGATGTAACTCGTCGTTTTTGTCTGTGCTGTTTTATACACTTTCCCTCTATGGTCTTTTGACTGCACTTTTTTTTTTCTTTTTTTGCTATGTATACATTGTGGGGCTTTGTTTGCATGGCTGTGCTGTTTTATACACTTTCCCTCTATGATCTTTTGACTGCACTTCTTTTTTTCTTCTTTTTTTGCTATGTATGCATTGTGGAGCTTTGTTTGCATGGCACCCCCCCCCCTCTCTCTGCATGGTACATACAGGCCAGGCTTCCACTGTAGGAAAGTTTCTCCCTTTTATAAGCTTGATGCTTGTGTTGGAATCCTGAGTTGAGAGCAAAGCAGCACTCTCAAACTGGCACCCTATTAAACTATCAAATATGAATTAGAACAAAAATGCAGGAGACCTTAAGAACCTCCGAAATAATAGATAGATATCAAGACAGTTTTAAAGCCTTAAAATAATCTCTCCCAAAAATTAGGCTAGCGATGATATTCTGTGTATATTCTGCACACAAAAAATCAAGACAGTATGCACTCTTGGTCCTCCTCTCAGCCTTGCAGAGATCTTACCAATCAACTATGCAATGAATGAATGAATAAATAAAGCGCATCTTTGCCACTGCTCAGAATATGCCCAGATGGAAGATTATTTCTAGGTCAGGGATTTACAGGATCAAGCTACTGAAAGATGTCTTGGGGAACTGTAAAAAATTAAAATAAAAGCCGTGGCAGTATTCCCACCATCTTTGTTTGCATTGTAGACTTCAGCCTCTGAAAATTCAACATAAGGACCACACATCCTCGTTCTGCAGGTATCCTGCCCAACACACACACAGACACAGACACACACACATATTCCTCCCTTCACCGTGCTCAGGCCCTACTTATAGCCAAGCTTCCAAATGTTCAGCTCAACCTATTCTTGTAAATCTATTCCTTATCAAAGCTACTTGTTAGAACAGCCACAAGTGAATACAAATGAAGGAGAAAACACTGCTTTATGGGAGTTATTTGGTACAGACTGACATCCAAAATAAAAATTAAAACTAACTGGTAGATTATAGTGCTCTCTGGTGGCCACATCACTCAGGACTACAAATACAAAGTGGGTGGCAGTCCATAAAAATCAATGTTATAATAAAATTATTATTATTAAAATAATAATTATTAAAATTATTAAAATTATTATTATTAAACAAGTTAAGAGCTATTATTATTCTTACTGTTGAAGCCTCTTCCTATTATTATTGTTGTTGTTGTTGTTGTTGTTGTTGTTGTTGTTGTTGTTGTTGTTGTTGTTGTTTTGTTGTTGTTGTTGTTGTTGTTTTTATTATTATTAAGATACACTAGTCATATGACATTTTTAAAGTCGGCACTCTTCACAAAGCCAGTCGGGGGAAAAATGACTGCGATGCTTACCGAACTTTCAGTTGACTGGGGCAGATGATGGGATCCCCCTTCCAAAGGGGTCGCCATAGCTCACAGGATAGTTGAGGCAGGAGGGCGGGAATACTTCCGTAGAGGAGGAGTAACTGTCATGACAATAACTAGCAAACGTTCATTTTTCAGTCTTTTCCACACAACCTGCACCGAAGGAAGGGGTCAAAATCACAGGTCATTTACATATGCAGCAGAAATGTGCATTTGGTGAAAGCATCGTATCTTTATGCCTCAGGAGTAAAAGCATTAATACTCAGTGTAAATAAACAATAGATTTCTAAGAGCAAACTTAACTCATGAGCAGGAAAGGTAAAATTCTCGGGACTGTGGTGTCCCTGGGGGCAACACCTTCTCGAACAGAAAAACATTTTAACATGTCATGTATTTACTATTTATTTATTTATTTGTTGAACGTGTATACCACCCCCATTAGTGCAACCACCCCATTAGTGCAATGCACTATTCCTGGTGGTTTACACCACGATAGATATTTTTGTGTACTTCTGGATCTTCGCCTCAATAGTGCCTGTTAAAGATGCTCCCTAATTCACTGCTCATAATTTTTGAAATATCATCACTGAACGATGTTAACCGCCATTGTATCCTCACTGTTTTCAACTCCCAGCTTTAAATATTGCCTTTCGCTCTTGTAAGCCGCCTGGGGTCCTTTTTGAGGAGGGAGGTGGGGTAAAAATATTTTAAATACATAAAGAGAGAAGATGGAGCACATCCAAGTAAAAGGCTAGCACAGAATAAACAAATCAAAACATTAAGCAAGTGACACAAGTGGAAACCCCCCCCCTCCAACTTCTCCATGTATCTTTTTATTGGTTTGTTTCCCTCAAGATGTTGTTGTTGTTGTTGTTGTTGTGGTTTCCGCCTGTTTGCTTGCAGCACTGCCAAAGAACCCTTTCAGAACCATTTTAGCAAGTTTTTGCTTTTGTTTCCCTCCCCCTTTTTTGCAGAAATGCACGCTCTCCACTCAATCCCACCTGTGGGAGAAGCTCCAGAGAGTGAGGCAGAGGGAGAAGGGCCGCCTGCCTCGTT